TAAAAGGAAAACCTGAAAGGCTCAAGCTCTTTCAAAGTAACTATGTTCCTTTGTTTGAGAATATAGCTCAAGAATATTTGTGGGTATACAAAAATATCCAGTACCCAATAAGCTCAAAATCAATGTAAGGATCCAACAAAAAATTATCAGACATGCATATGTTATATCAGGAATCCAATTAAAAAGTATCAGACATGCATATTATCCGTCCATAAAAATCCAGTTAAAAATTATCAGACATGCATTTGTTATGTCAGGAATCCAAATCAAAAATTAACAGACATGCATATTATCCGTCCATGAAAATAGGATGCAGTTGTTGCCTTTCCTCTTGACAGTTCATTCACAGGCCCAGAGACCTGGAATAACATGGGTGCTTTAGATGGAAAAGTCTTGAACTTTCTACTAATAACTGGAAGGTTGGATTCATACAGCGTGAAATCCCAGGGAGCCAAGGAATCAGCCCCAAATGTAACACATTAGCCCCCTGAAGTTGGGTCCTAAGAAGTCACCTTTTGCTAATTAAAACCTAAAATCTGTTCTGACTCTTGGGCTTTATGTCATGACAACCTGTTTCTGTTCACTGCCTCAGAGATAATCCTGTCTGGGTTCTGCGTGTGTCTAGAGTATACCTTGCCCCTTTCTGCCTCCCTCAACTTTAGATTCAGTAGCTCATTGGACGTGCTGTCTGATATCTTTGTCAGTTTCCAACTTAAAAAGTCTGCAGTTTCACTTAGAGCAGTGTTTTACGTGAAGAGCAAGTGGATTTTAGGGAGGGCTACCAACATTGTGGTTTGCCGGGAACTGAGAGGGTGGGGGAACTTTCAGCACTAAAACCAGAATAGTGCCGGGCAAGCTGGGACAGCTGGCCACCCTAGCTTTTGGCCTATTTCTTTACTATGACTGGGATCAGTATATTCTCTCTCACATGGGGAAATGTTTCAAGAGCATTCTAACACAGTGGCTTTTGCTGACCCTCCTACGTTTGACTCTGGAAAGTACCTGCTTTAGGAAACTACAGTAGTGAACAGATGTCTAATCCCTGAAGCTTATGCTGAGCCTATACCATGGGTGAGGGTCAGGGTCATAGGAACCATCTCTTGACCATTGGAAGACAATTTTGGTCTGTCCTCCCTCTTCTTTCCCAAAACACACATACTTCTAAATTTTTTATTTTTATGTTTTTTAATTTTACTTTTGTGTTACCCTGCCTTCCAGAAGAGAGTGACAAACATTTACCTATTTCTGATAGATATGAAATGATTTAGGAGGCACATTCTCTCAGTGCCTGTTAGATAAAAGTAAAGCTTTGATGTGATACCCATGATTTCATGGGTATTACTTAGGATGAATCTACCTAAATAGTAAATGTGCTGTAACATTTTTGTAGGCCTTACAGTATGCCAGGCTTTCACAGGTTGTTATAAAATTCATTTAATCTTCATAACCCTGAGGTTAAATACTACACTATCCTCATTTTTAGGTTGAGAAACTGAGCTACGCGTGACTTGCCAAGGTCACTCCTGCCCACCCCGACCCCTGTGACCACACCAAACAGTAGAAGTCCTGTGCACATAAGGCAAAGGGTAATGCTTGTGGAGAGTGATTAAAGTGTCAGATGTGTTACTTTTCAGCGTTAAATGCTAAGATTTTTAGACTCTAGATCATTCCTGAGTTGCAGCAGACCAGAGTAGCTTTTATGAAAAACTCTGGCTATGTGCAGGTTGGGTGGCCATCCATTGCGGTGAGAGTTGCCTGAGTTATTTAGTTTTCTCCAGAAATAAGTTCTACAGTGTTACACTTTTCAGAGTACAATAGTAATGTGCTGCTCAGCTTTAAAGAAAAACAACTGATCTCTTTTGAACAATACAGAAATCAATCTTAATTCTGTATATGAGCAACAAACAGAAAATGACAGTTTTGGTTTTTTTTTTCAGGTTTTTTTGTTATTTTTGTTTTTTGGACTCCTCCCCAGCCATTTATCAAGTTTGTTTTGGAGCAAATAGCATCTATGGAAATTGATTTGAATGATGTGCAGCTTGGCCATCTCTGTAGTACCCTGTGAAGTTTGTCTTTGTTCTTCTTCCCTACCTACCTCTCTTCCTAATAGGGTTTTCAGTGCACTTGACTTTGAAACTACCCCCTTATCTTCTATCGAGAGACAGACATAGAAAGGAATAGGCCCCTTTTCCCTTGCATATATTGTGGGAGTGATGATGAGGATATTGTTCCCTTTAACAATGAATCTTTCCCATAGGAAAACCCATGGGAAGAAACATTTCCTCTGAACCAGCTCTATTTTCCCTACAGAACTAGCAGTGTTGGGCTTTGGATGATGGAAAGTTGTGACAGTGGCCACAGTTCCCTTTCTGCTGTGGCAGCCAGAAAGCCAAGAACTACATTTGAGGCTTAATTTATTATTTATTTATTTATTTATTTATTTTCTGAGATGGAGTCTCTCTCTCTCTCTGTTGCCCAGCTGGTGCAATCTCAGCTAACCACAACCTCCACCTCCCATGTTCAAGTAATTCTCCTGCCTCAGCCTCCTGAGTAACTGGGACTACAGGCACAGACCACCATGCTCAGCTAATCTTTTGTATTTTTAGTAGAGATGGGGTTTTACCATGTTGACCAGGCTAGTCTCGAACTCCTGACCTCGTGATCCACCCTCCTTATCCTCCCAAAGTGCTAGGATTACAGGCATGAGCCACTGTGCCTGACCACTGAGGCTTCATTTTTAACAAGTATCTCAACTGTGGTCAGCAATGAATGCTGTGCATTGAAACTCCTCCCACTCTTGATATTTCCTTTTATTCCTTTTTCCATAATCTTGAATTGTACATGTTTTAACATTTGATTGTATACATTTGTAAAAACTTTCATTTCCTCATAGGATGAAAGCAAGGTGTTTTATTAAACATTTCAGACACGTAGAAGTGTTGAAAGAATAATTTAATGTGTACCTATATATCTTTCACCTAGATTCAAGTTATTAACATTGGCTTGTTTGCTTTATCTTTCTAAATGCATTTTTTTTCCTTTGAATCCTTTTGTATTATCTAACCCTTAAATATTTCAGTCGGAATCAGGTAAGAACAAGCATATTCTCCTACAGAAACACAAAGCATTATTGCCCCCAAGAAACTTCTCATTGATTGATGACCTATGATCCACATTTGCATTTACCCCCCCATCTCAGAAATGTCTTTTTATGGCCTTTTTATTATAAGGTTGACCTTTTGAAGAAACCAAGCTAGTTTTCTACAAAATATCATGATGTTTTAATGTTTTCTAGTTGTTTCCGTATGATTTTTAGCCCAGTTCTCTACCTCCTTTTTTTCTCATACAGTTAGATTGGGAAGAATACGTTCTGGGTGATGCTGTACATTTCAAGTGGCATCATATCAGGAGGTGTGGCCCACACATGCAGCGCCGGGTCTTCCCACTCACAGGATCCATGTTTGATCACTTGGTTTTACCATATTTTTCCCTTGTAAAGGCATGTTTGTCTCCGAAATTAGCAAGTAATATGTGAGGAGACACCATGTAACTACCCTTTTGACAATAATCTTCCATCTGAGAGATTTAGCATCTGAGGATAGTCTTTGCCCAAATCAATTATATCATTGCTGGTTGCAGACTGATTATTTTCAAATTATCAATTCCACTATGTACACTGTGCCATTTTTCTGTAAAGAAGAACATTGCCTTATTATTTCTTAGTCTGGGCTGCTGTAACAAAGCATCACAGACTGAATGGTTTATAAACAAGAAATTTATTTTTCACAGTTCCGGAGGCTGGAAGTCTGAGATCAGGGTGTGAGCATGGTCAGGTTCCAATGAGGGCCCTCCCCCTGGTTATAGACTGCCACCTTCTCATAGCCTCACATGTGGGAAAGAAAGCCAGAGAGCTCCCAGGGTCCCTCTTATAAAGACACTAATCCCATTCACAAGAGCTCTGTCTTCATGACCCAGTCACCTCCCAACAGCTCCATGTCCTAAAGCATCCTATTAGGGGTTAGGATTTCAACATATGAATTTTGGCAGAGACGCAGTCAGTCAGTCCATAATGCTTTATTAACTGGGGGAAAAAAACTAGTTTTTTTCTCAACAAGATAAGTCAGTGTTTAATTTCTCTCCTTTAATTATCAATTTTCAGAATAAGCAATAAGTATAATACTTACCTTCAGTGTAGCAATTTAGTTTTGTTTGTTTGTTTTTGGAGACGGAGTTTCACTCTTGTTGCCCAGGCTGGAGGGCAGTAGCGTGCTCTCTGCTCACTGCAACCTTTACCTCTTGGGTTCAAGGGATTCTCCTGCCTCAGCCTCCCAAGTAGCTGGAATTATAGGTGCCCGCCACCATACCTGGCTAATTTTTGGGTTTTTAGTAGAGTCAGGGTTTCGCCATGTGTTGGCCAGGCTGGTCTTGAACTCCTGACCTCAGGTGATCCACCCACCTTGACTTCCCAAAGTGTTGGGATTACAAGCATGAGCCACTGCACCCAGCCCTAGCAATTTAGTTTTATTTCTCTTTTTAACTAGTCTGTAAATTTAGGGATTTGTTTTTCTCTATGTTAACATCTGTTTGTTTTTGATGTTAATTATTTCAGAATTAACCAGTATTAGCCCCTTCAAACATACTTCTGTGTCTTTCTTTGGGTGCTTTTATGCTTTCTGGCCTTACAAGCTGCCTCTGCCCTCACCTTATGCTTTTCTTGACTCATATCTGGAACCAGCCATTTTGCCAAGAAACACTAGTTTCTTTCAGTGAGGAGTAGTATTTAGATACCAAAATCTGAATGTTTGGAATGCTCACAGTCCTGGGATATTCTTGTTTCGAAGCCCTTTGAGTAGAGAGCGTTAGACAATACATGTATTTCAACAGTTGACTTCATACTGACAACTCCAATTCAAATTTAGCAATACAAGATTTTTCTCCAATTTATATTTATTGCCTTACATTAAAGATTATGGCTCTTGATAACATTTTTTCTATATCCCATTCTTACCTGGCAGGGGAGATAACATGATCATGAAAGTGGTTTTCCCAGGGCGAGTTTTATCTATTGCATTCTGGATGTGCTGACCCCTGTGATTGCCCCAAAATGGGAAGCTCGACTGCATAATTTGTGGTAGTGGGGGACTGTGTTTATGCTTCCCCCTAAAAATATGTATATTTCACATATACATGTTATTAGAATATATATCTTATATATATTATATTTTAATATGTCTTTATATCTCCATATATAAATAGTTTAAAAGTCAGTACTAATATTTCTAACGGTAAAACTGCTGAGGACATTTTGAGACTTTTTTTTTTTTTTTAACATTTTTCCCCTTTAGATTTTTGTCGTATAGTTGTTTAAAAGTCACTTGCATTGTTTGATTGCTGATTTGTATTGTTAGATTACCAATTGCTGTACAGTTAAGTTTTTAATTATTGGGTGTGCTTTTAAATATTTTTATTTTCAGCAGTTAAAAGTATTTTTTAAAAATAAGATGGCTGGGTGGGGTGGCTCACACCTGTAATCCCGGCACTTTGGAAGGCTGGGGTGGACAGATCACGAGGTTTGGAGTTTGAGACCAGCCTGACCAACATGGTGAAATCCTGTCTCTACTAAAAACACAAAAATTAGCCAGGTGTGGTGGCTGGTGCCTGTAATCCCAGCTACTCGGGAGGCTGAGGCAGGAGAATCACTTAAACCCAGGAGAGGGAGGTTGCAGTGAGCTGAGACTATGCCACTGCACTGCAACCTGGGTGACAGAGCAGCACTCCATCTCAAAAAAATAAATAAGGTACAAATACTACTATGATTGTCCAGGTTCCGTTTCTATCTCTATTCTTCTCACACATAATCCCTATAGGTGTCCATTTTTACTAATTACTAGTTTATTCTTTCAATGTTTTCATTTAAGATATATATACATATATATTCTTATTTGCTTATGCAAAAGAGCATACAATATTGCTTTTGTCATTTACAGTATTCTAAACATCACAGTAATGACACAGATTTACAAACCCTCCCCTCCCACACAAAGCTTCTCTTGATGAAATACTAAAATTTGTTAGCCAGAGGTTGAATCTGAGCTTTAAAAGAATATGAAAGTTTAAAACTAAATTATCAGTAAATCTTTAACTACAAAAACATATACATTAAGTTTTGAAACATCCATGGAATTTGGAGCTAACTTAAAAAATTGTTGACCAGGCACAATGGCTCACACCTGTTGTCCCAGCACTTTGGGAGGCCAAGGTAGGTGGATTGCTTGAGCACAGGAGTTTGAGACCAGCCTGAATAACATGGTGAAACCCTGTATCTACAAAAGGTAGAGAGACAAAATTAGCTGGGCGTGGTGGCGCATGTCTGTAGTCTCAGCTACTTGGAGGCTGAGGGAGGGGGATTGCTTGATCCTGGGAGGTCTAGGCTGCAGTAAGCCATGATCACACCATTGCACTCCAGCCTGCGTGGCCGACTGAGACCCTGTCTCGAAAAAATAAAAATAAAGTAAAACATTGTTATTTAGTTACTCTGTAAATAGTGATTTATAATTTCTAGAAACTTGTGACAGCATTTTGGAGCAGTTTCACAGTGCCACCTTTGGATTATAGCCAAAATTTGTATAGAGGCATGGATGCTGTTTCAAGTTTTTAACTTGCTTATTCATAAAAAGGAAGCACACAAGGGAAATACTCTCCTGGAAACAAATGCATTCCATCTCAGACTTCGTGCATTTTATCACCTTAGAACTTACTTTCTCTGGGAGGGGAGAGTATTTTAGGACTTTGGTCTTTATTGTCCATACCAATGGCCACTGATAACCTCTTTGCTATATCGTGTGGGTGCTTGAACTTTTCTTAGCATCTGGCACCTTACTCTTAAAACCTCACACTTGGCTTGTATGATTCCCGTGGAGCCTTGGTTTTGCTTCTAGATCCGAGAGCTGCTCAGCTCCCTTTCTCTGCTGCATAGGTAGTGGGTGAATAGGCTTTGGAATCAGGTGGGATCTGAGTCTGACTTTACCGCCCAATAGCTATCTGACCCCAGGTTAGTCAGCTTTCTGGATTCAATTTTTTATAGAATTGGACAGCTCATACCTTCCCTGTCTATCTTCTTGTTGGCAGGTTCAACTGAGATAATATGAAATTAAACACAAGTATTTACAGGTGTTATTTTAGTCCTTTTTCTTTCTGGTAAAAGTGTGTGGTCGTTGATAATTTAGATAGTGTATCATTATCTTTGATATAAAAAGAGTTGTCCCAGATGGTAACTCCGTTTCCAGGTTGGATGTGCTGAGCAGTCTGAATGCCCTGTACCCCTATGTATGGCAGCCACTTCCACCTTGGGAAACAAGCTTCCTGTGTGTTGCCTGCCCTCTCCCACTGTTGGTTACCATTTCTTTTCTATTGCCGACCATTTCCTAACAGGAATTCCATGTGGGGTAGACTCTCATTCACCACTATTCCCACTCCCTTCCCCTGCAGCTAGTGACGTGCGAGTACTTTCATTCCTAATCTTACCCGAGTCCTCATTTTCCTAGTCCCCAGTCCCCCTTGCCCCACTCCCAGTGACCGCCCCCCAAACCCCACCAGGTTTATGTTCCTGCTACCATAATTCTATGCCTCACTGGGATCCCTTTTCCATTTCTAGAAGTCTCTTGAGCTTCTGACTCTGGTAGCACCAGCCACCACCAGTGGATTATAAACTAAGGGTATATCACGTACAGTTTTCTAGCTCAGTGGGATGTGGCTGAGGATCCAGGGGAATTCCAGTCTTTGGTGAAATCAAAGCGACCATGATTCATCTAGGCCAGCGCAACTCAGTCGTCATCGGTAGACATAAAGTATCACCACCTCTTGGGAGCTTTTTTCAGATCCTACCTTAAATCTACTGAGTTTGAATCTCAGAGAGTGGGGCCCAGAAATTGATGTTTTAAGAAGTCCTCCAGATGACTCACAGGCACATGAAAACCTGAGAACCATTCTAAACAACAGAGCTTGGTATTCTAAATATACCTTGCCATGGAAAGTGTCCTAGATTGCCTTTGTAGCCATTTAGTATTATATTTTATTAGGTTGTGGTTTAGAAAATTTTCAGTAAGCCTGTGTCTAACCATGGTTTGGTGTTGGTTTTGGTTAATTCATTTATCAAATTTATCAGTCATCTTATTCATGAACTTTCGTACCTTAGTTTTTTTAGAAATGAATTAATGAGGAAGGAAGTATTTTGAAAATGTAGGATGTAAGAATTTTATGTATTTACTGATTCATTTATACTTCATGTCAATACAGAAAGGATATGTTGCAATCAGCATACAAAAATATATGCAATTTAGAAATGTAATGAAATGAAAATTAACCTCATGATCCTTTTTATGAAGAAAAATTATTCCTCCTGATTTCCTCTCTTAGGCTTCTGGTTCCGCTATTAAAATTTATTCTCAGTCATTGAGAAGCCATTTTTTACCATAGGCAGGACTCTGGAACAATGAGATCTATTTTAATCTCTAGATTAAAATGCAATAAGGAAGGTAAACAGTTACCTCATTTTGAGTCTGTGGAATTTCCAACAATTTCTGAGTCCTTCCGTATCCCAGGCCATGGGAGTGATTGTTTCCTTCAGTTGCTAGATTTCTGAACATCTCACTGCCTACACTTGGTAAGCTTCAGTGATAGTTATCTATGTAAGTTTGACAGCTTTCTTTTTGAATCCTTAAAAAGTAAACCTTGATTTACTCAACTGACAATAAATCAAAGATATTAAGATTAAATAGCCTGACCAGTGGCTGTCAGATGTTTAACTCACTGCCTTGCTCTGGTCATAACCGGCAAAAGTTTGCTACTTCTTGTTGTCTTTTACCTCTTAGCACAGGACGTCAGGTAGACATCCTTGAGCTTGTGATACAAATTTTAACCCCTAGTTACAATTTCTCCCCTGAAGTCAACAAACCTTTCATTTAGTGGGTATTTGACTGCCTGCTGTTTATCATCCACTATGCTGATCTCTACAAATACAAAATTAAGTAAGATTCTCCTCCTACCTTCCAGGTGCTTACAGTTTAATAATAATAGTATCGTGAGGGTATATTGAGAGTTGGGTGTTGTTAGACACTCTGGCTTGCAACTGACAGCCATTTAAGGGGAATTTATTAGAGAATATTGGGGTTCCCAGATATTCCAAGGACACATGGATCTTGGGAACAGCTAGAACCACGGACTCTGTTGAGATTCCATGTCTAATATGTACTCTTGTCACATCATCTGCTTCATTTCTCCTCTTTGTCTCTGCCTCTCTTCCCCCTCTGGCCTTCTGCTGCCGTTTTCTTTCCTTCCTTTTCCATAGAAGGCCCCTAATTGGCTCAACTCAGAAATCAGGTGGCCATCCCTAGACCAGTCAACTCTGGCCATGGAAAAACCATGTGAATGGGACAGAGGCGGGTGAGAAGGAAAGAGGATGTCTAGGAGCAGGGGAGTCTGTGCAGATAAAAACATGTCTCCACCAGGTGTATGCACTTTACATTTATTCATTCTCCTAGTCCACACAGTAGCCCATTAGCCTCCCCAAGGCATATAACTAGCCAGTGGCAGAGGTAGGATACCAGTCCAAGTTTCTGGTGATTTCCATACTAAGAGCACTGTGCTACTTACTGGTTACACTGCAGTGTTTAAGAACAATAAAGTGCATGCGAAACAGCCTTAGCAAACTGAGTGCTGAAGGCTAAGGGATGTTTGTCAGACAGGAGGAAGGTTAGGTCATTGCAGGGGGTGGGAGAAGCATGTGAGAAGGAATCATGGTATGTAGCAACCGGGTATTTTTTGTAAACCACAAGCTGTTTATTATGGCTCAGGATGAGGGAGTGTAAGGAGACCAGATGGGGGAAGCTGAGGATCAGCAGAGGGCCCATCAGGAAGACACTGATCTGGTAAGTAAAAAGTTTAAAAAAAAATTTTTTTTGAGGCAGGGTCTCGTTTTGTCGCCCAGGCTGGATTGCAGTGGTGCAATTTTGGCTCGCTGCAACCTCATCCTCCCGGGTTCAAGCGATTCTCCTGTCTCAGCTTCTTGAGTAGCTGGGACTACAGGCACCTGCCACGGCTAATTTTTATATTGTTTTTCAGTAGAGACAGTTTTGCCATGTTGGCCAGGCTGTTCTCGAATTACT